GTCCTCTGTACACCAGGCCTGCTCCTCTGCCAGCCGCTCATCTGCCATGGTGACCAGCTGTCCAGCCGCTGGGTCCAGTCCTGGGTCTGCTACTGCTGGAGCTAATGTACATGGTTTGATCAAAAAGTTCTAAAGACTCGATGTTCGGGGTATTGCTCATCAGGAATTTGTACTGAGTGGTCAAACAATCGATCAGGCCTTTTATAAAGAGGTTTTGATTCGATTGAGGGATAAAATTAAAAGAAACCGCTGTGAGCTGTGTGAAAATGGTCGATGGTTTCTGCACCATGACAATGCTCCTTCACACACTACTGTCTCCATTCAAGAATTTTTGGCTGAAAAAATCATTCCTGTAATACCACACCCTCCATATTCACCTGACCTTGCCCCATGTGATTTTTTTCTGTTCCCAAAAATCAAAATGAAGCTGAAAGGAAGGAGACTTGATGCCATTCCAACCATCCATAAGAATGTGAAAGAGGAACTCAAAAAACTCACCGTTGAAGACTTCCAGCATTGCTCCGAAAGTGGCAGGAACATTGGACAAGTTCACCAGAGAGGGTGCAGAGTACCCACTCTGAATACACGGTGGATCTCCTTGATCTGGAGGACGTGACTGGCTCAAGCCAGTATGAAGTAGGTCAACTCAATTACTCTGCAGTTTGGCAAGCCTTCAGTGAAGGGCTAGTGCACCATAATCACAGCTGCTGCAGCAGACCAGGCATCCCAGGCTCCACACTTCAAGATAAGGAACAACCTCTTCTACCATATTGACAAAGGGAAAGGGCAAAAGCTAGAAGTGGCACAGTTGCTAGTGCCACAGTGGTATAGGCCTCCTCTAGTTAAACTGGCACATGATGGGCCAAAGGGGGGACCATCTGGAAGGGACAAGACAGAGGCACTCCTGTTGCAGTGGTTCCAACCAGGGCTCTATAAGGAGGTCAGGCACTACTGTGAGATGTGCATGGTGTCCACAACTGAGACCCCGGTGGCCCTGATGGTGCCACTATCCATTGTGGAGAATCCATTTCAGCAGATTGCCCTAGATATCGTGGGCCTCTTCCCAAAAAGCAGTGCGAGTTACCAGTACATACCAGTGACAATGGACTACACATCCTGCTTCCCTGAGGCCATACCACTGCGCTTGAAGACAGCTCCAATAATTGCAGCCAAATTACTTAAATGGATAGCAAGAGTAGGAATTCCCAAAGAGATTCTAACAGATCAAGGTAAAAATGTCATAGCTGGGGTAACAAAGGGAATCTATGAGGTTCTCCAGTTAAAGCACTTAAGGACTCTGGTCTATTATCTTCAGCCTAATGGGTTGCTTGAGCATTTCAATTGCACCTTAAAGGTGATGTTAAATAAATGTATACAGGGAGATCCCAAGAGATGGGACCAGCTGCTGATGCCTTTATGGGTTCTCCATCAAGCTTCTATGGGCTGTTCCCCTTTCAAGCTAGTATATAGCTTTCAACCCTGGGGCCTGCTTGATGTAATGCAAGAAGGCTGGGAGCAACAGACGCCAGGTGGAGCCCATGTAGCAAAGCACCTGAGTTGCGGGAACATCTGACCTGTGCACATCAGGTGGCAAGGGACAATCTCAGGCAAGCCCAAGAAGAAACAAAGCCTATTATAACTGAAAAGCCCAAGAGAGACACTTGAATGCAAGTGATCAGGTCCTGGTCCTCCTCCTGGAACACCATAGCTGGCTACTAGCCAAATGGGGGGACCATTTGAAGTGGTGTGCTGCATAGGCCTGATAGATTTTGAAGTGGATTACAAAGCACGTGTTACAGAAGGGCCAACACTTGGGAGACACCTTACCAAGCAGTAGGAACACCAACTTTGGGGGTTAGTAGCAGAATATCAGGATGTATTCTGCACCAAAGCCAGGAAGGCCAAAGGGGTAGTACATCAGATAGCCATGCCCGAGGGTTGCATAATACATGAGACCTGGAGGTGGATTTCACGACAACTCTATGAGACCATCAAGTCCAAGGCAAGGAAAACGTTAGACAAAGATAATACATGAATCCAGGAGCCAGTGCTACAGGCCCCTAGTAATAGTGCCTAAGACAGAAGGGGCTCTAAGCCTGTGCAGAGACTTGTTAAAGTTAAACGCAGTGACAAAATCTGATGCGTTCCCAATGCCAAGCATCAAGGAGATGCTGGAGAAAGTGGGTCAGGTTTGCTTTATTTTTACACTCAATATGACCCCCACACAAGATCCCTATGGCTGCAGAAGATCAGGAAGATTGCCTTTGGCACACCCTGGAGTTCCAGCGCATGCCGTTTGGCCTACATGGCATGGTGGTCATGTTTCAGAGGCTCATGGACCGTACATTAACTCTCCATCACGCTTATGCATCATCCTACATTAATAATGTAATAATTTTTTCAGGGACCTGGGACCAGCACATGGAGGCATTGCAGTGGGTCCTCTAAGAGCTGTGCAGGGTAGGTCTAACAGCCAATCCCATAAAATACATGTTGGTCAAGTGGGAGACCAAGTACCTGGGATTTCAGGTTGGGCAAGGCCAGATACGTCCACTAGAGAACAAGGTCAGGGCCCTATGCTTCTATGAGCAGCCAAGAACAAAGAGCCAAGTGTGTTCCTTTGTAGGACTCGCCAATTATTATCACAAATGTATTCTGCACTTCTCTGAAGTAACAGCTCCATTCACCGACCTGACCTCGGACAACCAAATGAACAACATCCAGGGGACACAAGCTAGCATTGTGTGAAAACCCCGTATTATACACCCCAGACTTTAATCAACTGTTTGTTTTACAGACTGATGTGTGTCCAGGATTGCAGTAGAGGCGGTGTTAACTCAGGGGAAGGAGCATGAAGAATGACCAATAGCCATAAGCTGCTCACCCAAGCACCGGCATTCCACTATCAAGTGGGAGTGTCTGGCTATAAAGCGGACAGTGAAACTATTCTGTTACTACTGGTTAGGATGGCCATTCACACTGGTGACAGATCATACCCCTCTAAGGTGGATATAGTCAGCTAAGACTGGCTCAGATTACTCGATGGGTGTTAGGCTCTACAACTATTTTACTTCACAGCGCAACACTGATCTGGCAAAATGTAGTGGCTGACTTCCTATCCCACTGACATGATAAGGAGATGATACCAAGCAGCCAAAAGCATCAGGTACACCTAAATTATGGTCCAGGGCCTGAAAGAGGCCAGCCAGCTGAAGGCAACCCAACTAGCTAGCAAAAAGGGGGGAGGGGAGGTGGTATGTAACAGACCCCCACCTAACTGATCGTGGCACCGTGGCTCAGGTGGCTGGGCTGCAATCAAGCTGGCTGGCACCATGCTGACTGGAAGAGACCTGCTGATTAGCCTGGGAGCAATGGGCTAAAAGCAGGCCTGGAGATGGAGGCACTGGGGGTGCACAATGGAAAAGTGGAAGTGGGTCCAGACACTCTCCCTGCTGCTGGAAGGGACCCAACACACTCATTCTGCTGCCAAAGCACCCAGGAAAAACTGGGATGGTCACTTCACCACTGGAAGGAGTTCAGTTGCATCCCATGAGGTCAAAACACCCAGGGAAGCACAGGATGCTATCCCCATTGCCAGGGCACTGGGGAGCGAGCCAGCTCCTATCCCTTCTAATACAGTTGGGAAGCAGCTCAGCCTGGATGCAACAGGACCCCTCCACATGCACAGAAGTCTGTGCACAAGCACCCAGGTTGGGGGGGGGGAGGCTGGGAGATGGCAGTCTAGGAGGGGACAATAGGTGAAAAACCCCAGCAAGGGGGTTTCCCAACACTATGCACCCAGCTGGTATGCCTGAAGGCTTGGAGTGCCCCAACAGGAGGCTGGTGGGGAAGTGAGCCTTGCACAAGTGTGACAGTGGCCACCATGAGATGGTGCCATACCTGGCTTAGTGCCAGGGTGGGAAGAACATGTGCAAGGGCAACCCACCAGAAGACACAGGGCCTGAAGGTGGGTGAGTGAGGGGCGCACCAGGCACTGGACCAACCCATGCCCAAGAAAGGGAGTGCTCAGCATGGAGGCATTGTTGCCCTTCCTGCCCAGCCAGTTTGAGCCATTTAAGTTACATTACCTGTTTAGTTGTGATTTTGAAGACAGATGGCACCAGCAGGATTCTCACAATCTCAATTCTTGCAAGACACCTAACATAGTAGAAAAGGTCACATCAGCATGCCAAGATGTCTCCAGGGCTGATTACAATACCTGAGTAGAAAGGGGTAGGGTATAGGGGAGGAGGAGCCCCACAAACATCATGCCAATGTTGTTGCACCTAGACTCTGAGGGAACCATGATCATCACCTCCAGGCAAGTGAAGGTTGACCCAGTGGAAACAACAAAGTTGTGGTGGGTGAATAGGCCCAGATGCAACATGACCCCAGAGGGTGGGACATGCCTGTGGTCTGTCGGCAACTGCATCACGCATGAGCCTGTCACACATAGCCTGTGAAGTTTTAAGTGGTCTGCGTCAAGGAAAATGCTTTACACTGTACACACAGATGGACAGACACATATGCCTCCTACCTTTAGTACAAAATATCAGATATTCTTTACCTCTGTATATCCTTAATCCAAGGCTGCTGAAGAAATCCAAGTGGGGTTAAGTCACAGAACAGCCTGAAAAGTGGGTTTCGTTTTGCAAGTGACTAATCAGCTGCCTCCTTGGTGGCGGGTCTAGGTCAGGGATCATAAGATAGTCTGCAGATCATATGGTCCTTACATACGCAACCAAAAAGAAGCTCACTTGGGAGAGACTTTGGGTGAAGGGAAACGACCGACTTCATCAATCTGGCTTATGTTGCACTACCTTGGTTTTGAGAAATAAATTTTATTCTAAGGAAAAAGGTGAAATTCTGCCACTGTTGACAGGTTTACTGATACTCTTGCCTATAAGTTGATTCACTGGCTAGGTTTGCTGGAGGTGGTGGTTGCTGCGGGTGATGTTTTCCATTGAACACAGAAGACAGGATTAAACATGACACACTGATAAAAAGTCTAATAACCAATTTTTATTGTTAAAAAACAGAGGGAAAAGTTGTGGGAATGCAATCCCAATTCTTACAAAACCCAAGTTAAAAAAAAAGTTAGTGACAAAAACTAAAACCCCCACAAAAGTCAATGACAGATATCCATATAAAAACAGATTTTACCAGCCCACATTCAGTCTCTGAAATCAAGCTCTTCCTGCCTCTTGGAATTTCTTCAGCAAGGGTTCATCTGCCCGGAGAGCAAAGGTTAGTGCCTGCTTTTGGTAGTACTGGGGATCAAGCTCCAGATTGTCAATCACATCTGTCAGGAGGTGAGCTCTCTCCACTGAGATGCCAGGCGCATCGTAGCTCAGAGCAGAGAAATGCACATGCAGGTGATAGTAGGAGGGCTGGTAATGCAGGTATATCCTCAGCTGAGTACCAGCCACCCCAAAGCGCTTCAATATGGCTTCCTGGGAAACGAAAAAGGGAAGGAATTTAATCTGCAACTCAGCCTAGTCTCTTGTGACAGTGAATGAAAAAAAAACCAAAAAAAACCAAAAAAAACCCAACCAAGCAACATTACTATAATTCCTTTCAGCTATAAATCCCAAAACATTCAGGACAGAAATTCCAGACTGCAGGAAAGAGTCAGTGAAATGAAGTCACTGCTGGGGCGGAACACAGTAGCTGAGTATATCGAAGTGTTGTGCTGTATATTAGTTTAGCATAGGAAATGCAAATCCCAAACCCAGATGAGACTGCAAAGGGCAAAGAATGATATTTAAGTAGTAAATTGCAAATACTCAACTGGAATTTAGCCAGGACAGGAAGGATTAATTGCTGTGCTTTACAAGAAGTGCCATGGGACCTTTAAAATGACCAGAAGGGGTCAGGGCCCCAGTTTCAAGTCTTGTCTGTGAATGATGAAATGAGGATTTTGTTACACATTAAAGGAGTTTATCCTCTTCAGTGTTTTCACATATTTTCTTCCTTTCTCAAACTCTTCCAGAAGGCAGCTGAAGGAGAGGGGCATGCAGTACCAGATACGCTGGCTGACAATCTGCCCAGCTGTAAACGCACTGCGCTCAGTGCCTGCGAGAATGCTAACCCCGAGCAGAGAAAGAGGCCACCTGCACACTAAAGATTTATGAGCCAGGCAGAGGCAGAGACAGACACCCAAAGCTTTTCTCAGCTAAGTCCTGTCCAAGAGCTAGTCACCAGCCAAGCACACTGGCCAGCAGGTACGTGTCTGCAGAAGAAGTTAAATGGGTGGAGATTGATGTTCAGTTCAGACATACCACACAATGAAACCATCAAGGAAATGGCTATAGAAGCAGATGGAGGGAAAAGCTTTCTTCAGCAAAACAGTATTTCCAAGAGCAGATGTTGAGTCCGTAATGTTGTCTGAGTGGCTGAGCCATTATCTAATGTTTAAAGCACAAGGCTGAGATGCAGCAGGTGTAAAGGGAGGGATGGGGCCTGTCATGGGGAAAAGCACCTCAGTATGATGACACACAGACGGGATAAAAGAAAAAGTAGGTCACTTACAAGCTCGCTGAGCCCGAGGCTCCTGTAGCAGAGAGATGGGGAAGTTCTAGCCAGCAGCACACTACCAGCAAACCTGCCCCACCATTACTCTGCTGGTATATCCACCCTAGCCATTTTGCTTTTCCTAGACATAGTCCTGCTTCATCAAAAAGTGCAGCCCATCAGCCCAATGGACTGAAATACCTCAGAGGCAGGAAGGAAAGGAGCACGGCTCAACACCTTCTCAGGACAAGAAGGGAGGTAATTACAGATTCGATTCTTAGCTCAATACAGACGATGGAAATCTGGAGCCGCTCCAGCACTCTCAGGTTCAGACCAGACCAGCCCAGCCAAAGCCAGGATCTGGCTCATTACGAGCAAGGGCTGCTTCTGTCTGCTCTCCATGCCTGTGCAGCAAGTCCTCCTGGATGGGACGCTAGATAACGCAGACACGCAGCCCCTCAGCCATGCCTTCTCCTGGTTTTTGTTGTTTTCCGTTCTAGTCTTCTTGCTTCATTTTGCTCAGTGAGTTACACGAGCCTGTTAGCAGCCAGCATAATTAAAGCTATAAACAGCAACAGTGAGCTTGTCAGGGCCCTTCCAGCAGGCGGCTGTTTGGGAACACTGCAATCCCTCACCTAATCTCTTAATTAATCTCTGCCTTCCTCGGAGCAATAACTTTCAGAATTTCTAGAGCAATGAAGGGGAAAACCTGCCACCCTGCTTTGATCTGAACTGCCTGGTAGTGAGCATACTGTATCGCACCTGCAAGGGGCAAGACATGGCCAGAAGGTTACAAAGCAGGGTGTTAATACAGGGGACAAGCTTCCATGCAGGAAAGCAGCAGCCCCTCAGCTCCACTAGGCAGTTTCTACAGCAAGTTTCTACTTGCTTCCCTAGCTCGCTGCATGAGGAGAGAGCTGCATTCTCTTCACTTGCAGCCTCCTGCTCTGTCCATTGCCACTGAGCTCCCCTCCCCACAGCCCTAAATCCTGCAGCCCTCTCCCCGCCCCAGCTCAGCTGTCCTGTGTGGCAGCAAGAGCCTCCGCTGGTGGCCCACTCAGCTGTGCAGGGGTGTGCAGTGCCCAGCCAAGCTCTGCTCTCAGTGTCGGCACTTGAAGCCATGACGGTTTTAGCTGGAACAGAACCGAAGAGGAGCTTCAGACGACCCAGGCCAAAAGCAGTTTCCATGAAGGAGTCGTTGGCTTTCCAAAGGACTGGTGAAGCACTCGCTTGGCTCCAACTAAAAAATTTGGTTCCAAGGCAGACTGTGCGCTCAGACTTTCAGCTCTCAGCCCAGATGCCAAGAGGAAAAAGCTGTTCTCTTCTAACAGTGTCAGATTCTGTTCCAAAGGGATGGGCAATATTGCAGCCTGGGTTACATCCTCCCTTAGCACGGCCAGTCCAGCCAACAAGCTGACAGGGGTACTCAATCCCTGGCCAGCAGGCCAAATCTGGCCTGTGGCCCCACATCATTTGGCTCATGAGGCTCCACATGGGTCTGGAAATTTGACAGTGGGAGAGCAGTGGCACTACCAAATTTCTGGACCTGTGGGGAGCCAATGTGAGTGGGGGTGTTGCTGGGCTCCAGGACCCAAGGCCAGCAGGCGAGGGCAGTGGGGGGGCACCAGGCCCCAATCACAGTGCACTGGGGCAGGAGGGGACAGGAGTGCCAGGCCCCCAGGACTCAATCCTGGTGAGAGGTGGTGATGCTGGGCCCCTGGGGACCAAACCCATGTGTGGGAGTTGTGCTGGGCCCCAGGGCCCACTTCAGGTGCTCAGGGCAGGGAAGGAGTGGGGCCAGGCGCCAAAGCCTGATCCGGGTGCATGGGGCTCAACCTAGCCCACAGGTTAGTCCTGGTGCACTTATCTGGCCTGTGAGCACCACTGACTTAGATGTTTCCAGAAAATAACAACATGGGAAGCTGCATGGAGGGAAGAAGGACACTGCTACTGTAGACCAGATCTGGAATCTAGTGTCCCTCTGGATCCCTGCCGCTACCACTGAAGTAGACCACCCCAGCACAAACCTTTTCTTAGACCTAGTTCCAGAGCTGAAGATGAGCATATTGCTCTTCTTGGGCCACATTGTGTTTCACACAAGAGCAATGAAAAGGGGGAATCTAAATTGGAGCCCAAGGGAAAAACCATTCAGGTAGAAAAGTGGGATGTGCCTTAACATCAGGGAGACCCTCAGCACAAGCACAGACGGAGAAAGCCTCACTTTTGAAAACTGATGCTGCAATGTATGGACGGATGGGCCATAGCCAGATCTGCTAGAGTTGTGACCCTGTCAGACTGCATGAACAAAGGAGAGTCAGTGGTTAGATAAGAGACTCCAGGACACAGGGTTAGAGCATTTCACTTTGTCCTCTAAAGCAAAGTGAACCAAGGCCCCAGTAGGAGGAGATACATGGTACTACACTGCAGGAGGTGTCTGGCAAGAGGACAACACATGACTGGAACCCTAACCCGCTTGTGATCATGAAAGATCCTGCAACTCCAGCCACAGAAGAAGAGAATGTAACTCTGCCACCTGTGACACAAATGTCAACATCAAAAATTATATTTTGCTACCTCAAGTTCATCTGGATTTCACTTCTCCTGCTGCCTCAGTTGTTGCAGGTAGGTCTCAGGTGCTACCCTATAGGCATGTGTTTCCGGGGGTGAAGTGATCTTCCTCCTGCATCCTGGAAGGCTCAGAGGTTTAGTTCATTGTGTGCAGAAATGAAGATATTGTTTCAGAAAAAAATTGTTAAAGTTGGAGTGAGAGAATGGGCCACTTCTGGGATCTGAGGTAAGTCACGGGATCATGTCATGCCCCACCCCAGCTTATACTTCCCTTTGGCTGCGGCTCAGGCCTGGGTTCCTCCCAAGAGCAAGAGGCAGGATAGTGCAAGACAAAGAGCATGGAAGTTCAGACAGCTCATGCAGGGCAGTCCCAGAGCTGGAGAGCCTTTAGAGCAGTGATTCTCAACCAGGGTGCCACAGCACCCTGGGGTGCCTTGAGATCCTTTTAAGCATACTGCGGGATGCCACAAAATGTCAGCACTGTTAGGTTTACAAATATGATCTATAAGATAAACCCGGAGATTTAAAATAGACTACAACTATGGATTTCGTTCTGAGCACTTTGAAACAGAAAATCTGCTTTACTATTTTTTCTGTAGGCAAAAAAAAAAGAGTGAAAAATAAGAGCAGGCATTTTCTAAGGGGTGCCTCAAGTCTAAACAGGTCAAGAATCACTGCTTTAGCACCTAGTTCTGACTCAATACATGAAACCAGGCTGGAGAAAGAATCCAGACTTCTCCTTCATGTCCTATGAGAGAAGGTTAATTGGGGAGGAGAGGAAATCAGGAAATGCTTTCCATGGCCCTATGGAGACTTGCTGCTTTCCTAGGCAGAGAGCCCTTGCTGTTGCCTGATGGAGTTCAAAGGGCTCCTATCATTCATCTGGCCTCCAGTGCATAAAAATGCAAGTGTGATGCAGGATGTAGAGTCCTCTTTTCATTTACTAATTTCTCTCTCTCTGCACACAGGTAGCACCAGGTAGTTAATAAACAGACCCATAATGGGTGCGCAGAAGGGCTAATGCTGTGTACAGAATGACAAGAGATGCATGTCATTAACATCTACCTAAATCCTTTCATCCCCTGAAAGCCTCACAAACACCTCTCCTCCCCGCATTGGAACTGCAACCCCCTGGAGTGGGCAAGAACATGCCAGGCAGAGAGGATTCTTTTAGATTAAGCCTAAACCTTTTTCATTCACTGTCCCCTAACATTTTTTGAAAAGAGGTGTGGGCCCCTTTGAATTGTAAGTGTGGGTATTCACATACTTTTGATTGATCACAGTCATCTTTCATGGACCCCTTAGACCAGGGTGGGCAATTCTTTTGGCTGGAGGGCCACTTATTGAGTTTTGGTGAGCTCCTGGGGGCCGCAAGGATAACCCTGGCCCTTGACAGATGCCCCACTCCCTGGTTGCCATCTTGGGAATGCAAGTCTCATCCCTGACCCCTGACTTTTGCCACCAGAAGTCCCTCCCTTTGTCCCTGGAAGTACTCCATTTGGGAAGGACATGATGCCATAGCATGGAGCTCCCTGCTGTTCCCCATGACCTTCAGATAACACTGAGCTGCACTGGGCTGCTGGCTCCATTGCACGGGGCTCCCTCCAGAGGCATGCGGCTTAGGCGGAGAACCTGGGAATTGCACGTGAGCCCCATGAGATGGAGCCAGGCAGACCCCATTCCCCCACTGGCCCAGGCTCCACACTCCTGCCGCCCTGCCCTGGGCCCCCACTGGCCATGGTGTTAAGCTCCCATCCAGTTGCTGCTTTTCTCCTGCCTGCCGTCACCATCACTCACCCACCTGGTACTCCCACCGCGCCACCACCACATTCCCCACCCCTGCCTGCCACTGCTGACGCCCTTCCCCTGCCACTTGCCTACCTTCCCACCCATTCGCTGTCCCCCCACTCTTCCCACTTGCCGCCACTCTTCCCTCCCCCCCACCTGCCGGCATCACCACTACTTCCCCTTCCTGCTGCTGCTGACCTACCTGTGGGGCCAGGGCCAGGGTCAGGGCTGTCCTGTGGGAGTGCACCGTGTGCTGCCCCAACGGGAGCGAGCAGGGCTCAGCCTTATGTAAGAACAGCAGAGGCAGCCCGGGGCTGGCCAGGATGGATACAGTGAATTAGTAGGCACCCACCCATGGGCCAGATGAAATTGCCTGGTGGACTAGATTTGGCCCATGGGCCATATTTTGCCCACCCCTACCTTAGACATAGTCTGCGAATCCCCAGGGGTCCATGGACCACAACTCAAAAACCACTGCTCTAAACCATTTCCTCTATTTTGTGTTTTCACATGGGTCCAGCTGCTGGGCATCACGCTGAAGCAGTCAGTGACATCATGGACAGCAGCTGCTCACATGGAAAGTCACTTTTCATTTTGTCAATGAAGTCTGACCGCAGAGAAATCATTACAGTTACGTTACTGTCCCCAAGAGAATAGGTGGGGTCTACAAAGTAGGATGCCTGCCAGGATGTAAGGACTTGGGTACAAAACATTCAGGACAAAGCCCCCCATGCAAAGATGCTGAATCCCCCTTGCTGTAATCCACAAGTTCCCCAGTCTGCTGCATGAGCAAATGGCTCTCATGACAACAAGGCAGACTTCCTGCTGGGAAGCCAGCAGGAGCAGCAAATTTGGCAGCTGTTCCCTGCTGACAGAAATTAAGGCAATCTGCAAACTGATTTTGCATCAGTACAGTGAGACCCTGAGGGGTGCTCAGGTACCACAGACATCATAGCACCTACCTTCCCTTCCTGCAAGATGTTCTTTAGCAAAGGCAGATGCTCAGAGGTGAGGTCCCGCAGTGATTTTATCTCCCGTCGGTGGCTGATGGCTATCAAATACAGGTCATCTAGCTGCAGAGACAGGGCATTAGAAAGGCTCAAATTCAAAGGTGTAAGAAGCAGTTTGGAGAGACCAGACCTTAGAGTTTCATAGAAACAACTATGCTAAAGGGGCTGCGAATGAAGCCCTGACCCACGTGGATGCAGACTATCATCATCATCTATCATCTCCTGGCACCTAGATTTGGTTATAGCGCACCTCTGGAATAAATAAATACATGGAGTCTAGGCTTCTTTCCTGTCCCACCACAAAACTACCGGGGAATAATTTTCTACTGAATGGAGTTCTCCCACAATTTAACCATTCCCCAAAATAGGGGAATTCCCTTCTCTCCCTTCCCCCCCACAACTAAGTGCACTTGCAAATACGTTTTTCATCATTCTACAGGCTTTAAAGACCCCTTTAGGACAGTAAATGAAACACCTGAATAAAATCAAAGGGATTACATGGTGCTGTAGGATCAACTCTTTATTAATACAGTTCCTTTCCTCTTCCTTCACTTGCTACACATTCCTCCAGCTTTCAGTATTATTCTTTTCTTTTGTCAATATGTTTAAATGAATTAGCAGACTACCAACTTTCAGAATAACATGTTATTAGAGCATCTTTTACATATCCCAAAGACAGTTTTTAAAATCCTGTTATCAGGTCCCATAATACCCCCATGAGTTAGACTGGGGATACTTAAACCTGGTGTTCAGTCCCATGCCATCCAGCCCAGAAATTTGGCAGTGAGTGAACAGTGAAATGCCTCTCCCACCACCAAATTTCCAGGCCTGTGGGAAGTCTCTGTGTGCTGGATCAGGTGCCCAATCCCAGCATGCAGGACTGGGCAAACGCAGTGATGGGCCCCAGGGCCCAATCCTGGCAGGCTGGGGCAGAAGGCAGCAGTACCAGGCCCCTGGGAGACCAATCCTGACAGGCAGGGTTGGTGCCAGGCCCCTGGGAACCAAAACCAGCATGTGGGGGTGGCATGGCCTCCAGGGCCCACTTCATATGCTCAGGGCAGGGTGTCAGGAGCCAGGGCCTAATCCTGGTCCACAAGGCTTGATCCAGCCAGTGTACTGGCCCTGCTCCACTCATCTGGCCTACATGGCCAAAAGGTTGAGCACTGAGTTAGACAAAGTATCATCACTCCCATTTTACTGACAGGTAAACTGAGGCACAAATTGCCTATGATCAGCATAAGCCAATGGCAGAATTTGGAAGAAAAGTCAAGAATCTAGATTCCTAAATATTTTCTAACGCGTTTAAGTGGTTGCCTTCCTGCAGGACAAGAAAGCAATTTATCTTCCTACACGTGTTAAGGGGATTTTCTAAGAATTCAGAAGGGCAAAAGCATAAACTTTCGATTTTAGAATGAAAAGTTCTATTTCTGTGCGGCATTACAAATACACAGGGACAGCTTCCAATCCCTCTGGTTCCATAAATAACTAGCCCTTTTCTTAGGAGCTAGTCAGACAACTGGCAATACCAACACAGTGAGAAATTCAGGTAGACTTCTGGCATCTCACAAAACACTTAATTCATTAAATGTTTGACAAACGTAAAAATATCATTACACGTTAAAATATATATATATATATATATATA